GCTGGTCGCCTCTCGCGCCTCTGAGTGCAGTGCATCGGGAGGGAGCCGTGCGCCGGCCGCCGCCATGCTGCAGTATTACCCGATGGGCGCGGATGGCGCCGCGTGCGAGACGGACCGGCTGGTTCCGAGTCTGTCTCCGCCGCTGGATATCATGATGGATACCGTCCCGATGTACTATCCGGACCGGACATGCCCCCAGGTGAGGCCTCTCCGACGTACTGCCCGCACCGAACGGACACCTCAGGCGAGGCCCCTCACTGTATTCCCCGGGCTGGATTTGGGCCAGGTGAGGCCCCTCCCCGCCACCAAACTACCCGGACCTGGGCTCACCCCAGTGAGACCTCCCACCGTGCTATACCTTGACCGGTCTTGCCTCAGATGAGGCCTCCCTACTGCGTTACTCGGGCCGAAGCCGCCCCCAAAGTGACGCGTCGTCGTCGTAGTATCCATGTTGAGCTTGCCTCAGGTCATCTTCTCAGGTCAAGACATACCTTCTTGCAAGGTCTTTATGCACCCCTGATGCGCACGGATGTTTTCCTAGAGGCGTAGTTCCCTCTGTCCTACCCGAGCTGGATCTGTCTCAGGGTGGTTTGCTAGCCTCACCGGATTTTGCCTTCGCGGAGGTCTGATACTGTTGCGAGATGAAGTCCAAAGCTAAAGACCCGTCCATAGCTTGTAATCTCCATCTTTCTTGCTTCACTGGACCTGTATCTGCGCATAGGAGCAACCCCAACAACTTCCCCAATCTGTGAAGCCTCCCACCATACGTGGTGGATTATGCCTGCTCTCAGCCCCGGCCTCCTTGGCAGGGGCGTCGCTAATAGGTGGGAAGCCATGCCCCTTGACCCCAGCATGCTGTCCTGACGGCAGCAAGAATTCCGTTGTTGAATTGGTTCATCCACCCAAATTGTAAGCTTGCCACCCCCGCACCTTTAGATAACCATTTAACCCCAGCAATCGTCACCCCCTGGAGATCACACCGCTCCCCAATACACCTGCTTATCCGACCGAATCCGTAAGAGGGGTTGGGGGGGGGGGGAACTCTCTGTAGCGTTGCAAGGTCAGCGTGACCAAACCCGCCTTTCAGCGCGACATTTTGGCAGCCAGACAGCGATTCACGGCCGCGCGGTGGCGATGCTTTCTCTCGGAGAGGCTGCACCTGCGTCATGTCCAGCCTGTTCGCATGTGCATCGGGCATCTCCCACGCGCAGGCAGGAACATCACACACATCACATTATTCGCACACAGATAGCCGGGCGCAGGAAATTGTCACGTGCCTTACGATCCAAGCTTAGGATGAAGATTCTTAAATTGAATAAAATGTCCAATGCTCATTAACGGCTGGTGTTGGTGCATCGCCGATATATGTTATTTAGAATACGAAAGCTCTGGAGGTCTGCTGCCCCAGTGTTTTTAGCGGTGTCCTGCGCGTATCAGGCTCTCGATCACAGATGGCGTCCGACAGGTCGTGACGCTCAGACGCTCATGACGCGCAGTCAGTCAGCGCCCCTCCAGACGTGTCCCGCAGGTCAGCTGGTGGGGACGTCCCCCCCCCCCCTCAGCTCGACAGCACTGGGCCGATGCTTGCCTCCAGCCCGACAACATGCTCGAAAACACTGGCCCGACGTTTGCCTCCAGCTCGACAATATTGGCCTGACGTTTGCCTCCAGCTCGACAATACTGGCCCGACGTTTGCCTTCAGCTCGACAGGACTGGTCCGACGCTTGCCTCCGGCTCGAAAACACTGGCCCGACGTTTGCCTCCAGCTCGACAATACTGGCCCGACGTTTGCCTCCAGCTCGACAATACTGGCCTTACTCTTGCGTCAGGTCGACAGGTTTGGGCCGATGCTTGCCTCCAGCTCGACAGCACTGGTCCGACGCTTGTCTCCAGCTGCCTGCAATATCGAGAAAAACCATCATGCAACCCGAACATTAGGGGAATCGCGTGAATGCCTGCTGACACTTGGAGACACGAACCAGGAAAGAGGCGAACAGCATCTTGTGCTCTTCAATAAATTTCTGTCTGTAATATTGAGGTTGCCTGAAGCTCGGAGGCGAAGAGAATGTTTTGCATTATGCATGCCTTTTGATGGCCAGTTTTCTCAAGCTGCATCCACGCCGTGTCCAGCGCAGAACGGCTTAAATGGTCCTCTGGATGTAACTGATGTAACTCGTGATTTCTGAGGATACCTTCCGACTCTCCCAACTCATGAATGACGGCTGAAGGCTGCATAACTGCGGCTCGTCCTAGCTTACGGAAAAGTTGATAAGGTTATTGGCTACAACGCTGTGATGCCACAACCACAGGGCTAGCATGGATGCAATGAAGCGCTGGAGATAAGGCCGACCTCCTTAACGGTCCATTGGCCGAGAGCGATGACGCCAACCTCAGAGTGCATGTTCTGCAGACCCAAGCCCTCTAAGTCATTGGGAGGGGAGGTTGAACGTGATTCTTTACCTCGTTTCGCTCCACGCAAGGCCAGAATTAGCACTTGCAAATGGGGCATGGTGACTGCCGTCTACGCGGCTCCCTATTTGTCATTGCTCGGCGGCTGGAGCTGACGTCAGCCCGGGAAGGATAGTGCGCTAGACCTTCCGGTTGGATGCAGCATGCCCAGGGGCTTCGATGGTGTTCCACTCAACGACATGCCTCCTTTGGCAGACGGAACTGTGCTTCTCTGCCAGACTGAACAGCCTGCGTTTACAATTCCTTCGATGGGAATAACGTAAAAACCTTGACGATTAAGGACCACGTTCCAAGCCAGCATTTCACTGCATACGTGGGTACGTGCCTATACTACAGGTATTGAATTAGTTCCCGCTGAGCCAACCTTTTTGTACGTATTCCCACGAACTTGATCTTATATTGTATTTTTATCTGGTGCTTCTCTCAAACTCCCCGCTTATCGTGCTTAAACGGCCGCATTTGCTCAACCAGATTTCCCTTGTTTTGTCCACTTTTGCCAGAAATGCTTGTCCAGCACACTTTACGACCAAATTCCTTTCGCAGCAAATGAAATGAGAGGTCAGATTGCTTCATGTAAAAGACGAGTTATTTAGATGCGTTGTACAAAAGAGAACATGCTATTTTGAAGACCTGCAGTCTTACTATGCAGGCTGTAGGTATCTGTTTTGGGTGTGTCGGATTCGGCTTAAAATTTTGTTTTCTGGCTTGGTCTTGGAGAACTGGATTTCTTTAGCTAAACTACACTTTTTGCTGGACCCTCCCATCGAGCTCCCTGATCAACAAAATCAACCGGTACTTCCAGTCCAACAGGATTGTGTCTGTTTGTGACATGAACATTTCCCCGGTAGGCCTCACGACCAAACTGCCGTCATAACGAGTGACATTGGTGCTCTCAAACCCTAAGGTGGAGAAAATTTGTCATCGAAATCACTACATGCTGTTGGAGTCCCGTCAGTTTCAGCCTGAGTGCACACCATCACTGATGTACCGCTATCGCCGCAAACACATATCTGCAACGCTTTGGTGCGGATTGGTTTGGGTCTTTTAACATCTGGTGTGATTTGGCGGCGGCCAGTGCATGTCTGGCGGCGACATTGTTTTGAAATCTGATCAAATTCGCTCATTTATTTTATGCCTTGATGACCCGGAGGCAACTTCTGGTGTCATGCACCTGCATGCGGTTTGGGCTGTCCAATGCAGCCTCTTTGGACCAAACAAGCCCCAAGACAATGTCTAAGAAGCTGGCTGTCAGCACAAGCCGGACTTCAGACCAGTGTCAGGATCTGCACTGTGAAAAGACCGCTGATGAGTGGTTCGTGCAGATGCACGGAGATTTTGCAGTATCCTGGTCCGGGCCATAACTCCTGCAATTATTCACACAATAGAAAAGTTCGTTAATGAAGCAGAACATAACACACCAATGAGAGCCGGTCCTCGGCCCAGCTCACCCGAATTTCGCGCCACCAATGGCTTGGGCGCGTCGTCGGCTGGCGTGTTCGGCTGGTGGCTGGCGGCAGCGTCGGGCTGGCACCGGCCAGACGGCAAGGCAAGGCGCGTGGGCCCCGACCAAGGGCCGCGTAAGAGTCCCCCTGGGAGGTCTACAAGTCCCGACTGTGGGCGGTGTGAGAAACCCCCTGCGGACGCCACACGTCCCCGACCGTGGGCGGCATGAAAGTCCCCCCGCGAGTGCTACACGTCCCCGGACGTGGCCGGTGTGAGAGTCCCCCTGCGGACGCCACACGTCCCCGACCGTGGGCGGTGTGAGAGTCCCCCTGGGGGGCGAAACGTCCCGGACCGTGGTGGTGGTGAGAGTCCCCCTGCGGGTGCTACCGGTTCTCGACCGTAGTCGGTGTGAGAGTGCCCCCTGCGGGTGCTACACGTCTTCGACCGTGGTGGTGTGAGAGTCCCCCTGGGGGCACTACAACGTCCCCGACCGTGGCGGTGGTGAGAGTCCCCTGCGGGTGCTGACAACCGTTCTCGAACCGTAGCGGTGTGGGAGTCCACCCTGCGGGTGCGACACGTCCTCCGACCATGGCGGTTGTGAGAGGTCCCCCTGGGGGCCACCGCAACGTCCCGACCATGGCGGTGTGAGATTCCGTCTGCTGTGCCGCTACACGACTCCGACCGGGAAAGTCCCCCTGGGGGCAACTGCACGTCCCGAACCGTAAGCGGTTGTGAGAGTCCGTCTGCTGGCGCTACACGACCTCCGACCGGGAGTCCCCCTTGGGGCAAACTGCACGTCCCCGACCGTAGCGGTGTGAGAGTCCGTCTGCTGGCGCTACACGACTCCAACCGGGAGTCCCCCTGGGGGCACTGCACGTCCTCGACCGTAGCGGTGTGAGAGTCCCTCTATTGGCGCTGCACGTCACAGTCCCGCTAGGCTCCGCCCACTTAGTAGATGACGCCGCAGCACCGTCGCCCGCGTTGGCTCCGGCCAAATTTGGGGGCCGCCAGGCGCGAATGGCGCGAACCCAGTGGCCCCGACCACTGGAGATTTCTAGTGACGCTGGCAGGCGCGCGCTTGGCTTACCATGGGCAAAGTGAGATCAGCCGGAGTTGAAACGTCAATTTGGTTTTGAAGGTTGCGTATTATGCGACAGCATGGTGCCTTATGCATGGTGGCTTTGTGTAATTCTGAAAAAAATTGTCTGGGGGGCATTTACAAGGCATCATTCGATACAATATTAGAGAAGTGACAGAATTTCATTACATTGCCAAAAATGGCAAACACCACCTCTCACCAAACAATTCAACACACGCGTCGGTCGCAGACATGCTTGCAGAAAGGGCTTTATCAAGCACTGCGTCCCAGTACGCCCCAGCATCGACATTCTCAAATGTACCGTACTTCCCGGTGATAATGAACAATCTATCTACGCGACACTTTCCGCATTTCAATCTCAAGACAGCCACACACACACGCACACACATGCACAGAACCCTTATGATCAGTGACACGCGTGTATAGTCATCTCACCCCACGCTCTTACCCACTCACCGTGTGTCGTCAGGCCGGTGACGACATGACGGCCTACCTATCGAAGCCGAGCTGGCCGCCGCCGATGGAGCCGCCCGAGCCAGGCGACCTCGACTCGCTGCCCGACACGCTGCTCGATGAGACCATGTCCGAGCAGCCGCGACGCGAGTCAGCCTCCCAGATCGACGAATTCTTCTCGGCGGCCGTGCGTCGTCGCTCCTCGTACCTGGCCATCCTGACGGCACTGCATGCACGCGAAGACGACGACGTCTTCCAGAAAACGGACCTCGAGAACGAGTCCGCCGTCGGCCGAGGACGTGTCTGGCGCTGCTGCAGTATGAGCGTACACTCTCAGTACCGACGCATCAAGGGCGACCAGCCGACACAGGGCCGCGGGCGGGATGCGGCTTCGCCAATTTCGCACCGCCAGTTCTTCCTCCTCCCCTCCTCTCCCGCCGCCGCCGCAGCAACAGCAGCCGGCCGCAGCCGCAGGCCGCAGCCGCAGCACCAGCATCAACGTTCAACAACAGCAACAGCATGCAGCAACAGCAACAGCAACAGCAACAGCAACAGCAACAGTCAGCAGCAACAGCAGCAACAGCAGCAGCAGCAGCGGCAACAGCAGCAAACAACAACAACAGCAGGAGCATCATCAACGTCAGCAGCAGCAGCAACATCAACGCCAGCAGCAGCAGCAGCATCAACGCCAGCAGCAGCACAGCAGCAGCAGCAGCAGCAGCAGCAGCAGCAGCAGCAGCAGCAGCAGCAGCAGCAGCAGCAGCAGCAGCAGCAGCAGCAGCAGCAGCAGCAGCAGCAGCAGCAGCACAGCAACAGCAACATCAAGCAACAGCAGCAACAGCAGCAACAGCAGCAGTTCCAGCAGTCGCAGCCCCCGCCGTCAGGTGTTTGCGGCGGCGCCCATGTTCGCGCGGCCTGACTGCTACCCCGGTCGGTACTGCCTGCCGCCGACGAGCCGCCGCACTCTGACCCCGGCTCGCCCCGACGGCCGTCGCCGCCGCCGCCGCCGCCGTACTGGCCGGCCGCCGCCACCACCCGCCGCCGCCGCCGCCACCGCCTGGATGACGCAGCACCTGCTGGTGGTGGGCGCGTGCCGGCAGCCGGCGGCTGCGGCAACCCACAGAGCGGCGGCGCTACAACCGGCGCAACAACCCCGAGCTGGAGAAGCGACGCGTACACCGCTGGCCACTTTGTAGGTGAGTACTGCACACGGCCTGCCTCGGCGGTCGTGGTGATGGGCAGCGGGGGCTGGGGGACCGGTTGATGGATGAAAGACAGCCTGGTGATCCGGAGCCTAGGAAACGCACTAGGAAACCGTCGCACATGGAGGCCGCCGGTTTGCGACCAGGCTGAAGTGAGCGGGAGGAAAGGGATCCTGATTATGGCAGCTGGCTTCGGCAGCCTCGTGTCACGTAACGGGCATGCTTGTATTCCGAATGCGGTAAATTTATTGTGATAAATTGCGTGAGTTGTCTTCTGCTATTGTTTCGATAAAGGCATGTTGCCGAAATTCGACCCACTACATCTCCATTCTCACGGTTTCTCCCGAGGAATAAGGCTATCACTACTGCCTTATCTAAGCGATAACTTACATTTAGCTGGAAATGCCCTGGATATGTGGAAAAGTCTATACGCATATTCCATCCTAACAGCATTGTCAGCAATCTCTGCATCGTAGGGCTAGTTATTTTTAGCCGTGCTCCAATTCGTTGCACTGATTCACTATAAGCGTGCCAGCTATTACGCACTGCGGTCAAATGTGACAAACCAAACCCATGAATTTCTCAAAACCAGCAACAAACAGCAAATCGGGCGTTGTTGATGCATGCATGTAAAACCGTTTCCTATTGTTCTCACTTTGATCTTCGAACACTTTAAAAATGGCTTTCGTAATTTAATTGCTCTGGTGTACGGGAACGTGAAACCTTCCAGTTGCATCGCACTGTGCACAACTGTCAGCTATGTGCATCGCACTGTGCACAACTGTCAACTGTGTGCATCGCACTGTGCACAACTGTCAACTGTGTGCATCGCACTGTGCACAACTGTCAACTGTGTGCATCGCACTGTGCACAACTGTCAGCTGTGTGCGTCGCACTGTGCACAACTGTCAACTGTGTGCATCGCACTGTGCGCAGATTTGTCAACGATTTAGTCTGGCCCAGACTCCTCTCACATCACGAGGCATAAGTAAATCTAACGACAGGGCAGCGCCGCTTTATGAGTGCAACACACTGAAGGCAGCTGAATTCTGGATTGTTTCTGTCACGTCTGGGTTGTCACTGAATGTCACTGTCACACCTGTCTGGATTGTCACTCTTCCACGAGCAATCCGCGGTAGTCCTCGCAAAAATACCTGCCTCTGCAAACAAACCTCCATGCACATCAACGACGGATGATCAACGCCGTTCTCTTCCGCAGGCTGTACGAAAGTCTACACGAAGAGCTCCCACCTGAAAGCTCACCAAAGGACCCACACAGGTGAGGCGTCGCTTGCGTTACGCAATCCCATTTCCGCATCTGACTGCCGGCGCTGATTGGGCGATCGGCCGGGCGGCTCGATAAGGGCGGCGCGCGCCGAGCCGGGCCGGCCGGCCGGACGCTCGGCCTGCCGGCGTGCCCGCTACGCCTGTGTCGTCAGAGCACTGATAGCGCTACTACAGCCGGCGCCGGCGCGGATAGCAGCGCACATTTGGACTTTGTTTGAGCGGCTGTGCGATAGTGCGGTGCACACCCCCCCACCGGCCCCCACGCGGAGATACACGAGATAACTGCAACTATCTCAGCGTGGTATGAGGTGATGCGTGATCGGCCTCCTGATTGGCTGGCACACTTGCCACCGGCCTGTTGATGTCAGAGGCTCGCGCGCAGCAGCCGCCTGCTCATGTTGTGCAGACACACGCTGAGGTAGGTGTGTGCGAGTAGCCGCTCGTCGCCGACCAACTATCACTGCCGGTGGTTACGGCCAAACCCTCCGACACGCCATCTCGCCGGGCCCGCCGAATGCGAGAGGCGCTCAGAGGGAGCATGCTGCCCGACGGCCGCTGTCTATACCGCCGCACCGCGCCGATAATATTGCCCGCCAGCGGCCGCCGTCCATAACGCCGCACCCCGCCGCCCCTGCTGCCCGCCGACGGCCGCTGTCTGTACCGCCGCTCCCCGCCGCTCGTGCTGCCCGCCGACGGCCGCTGTCTGTACCGCCGCTCCTCGCCGCTCGTGCTGCCCGCCGACGGCCGCTGTCTACACCGCCGCACCCCGCCGCTGTCGCGTCACACCGACAG